CTGCTGCTGCTGCTGCTGCTGCTGCTACTGCCGCTGCGGCTACGAAGGACCGGCCACAGTCATCTTCCTCTCCTTCCTCCACAACACATCCCCACCACCACCAACAGTCCAATCAGCTGTATCTGCAGCCCCGACTTGCCCACACAAAGGGCAAGGGAGGCGGCAACCTCAACGGCAATGACTGCGCTGCCTCTGCGGTGCGCCGACACTCCTACTCCGCTGGTCCCGTGTCTGCTAATGGGACTGGGTACTCTCCCAGCCAGAGAGAATCCCATTTCGAGGAAGCTGGGAAGAACGGAGTACGCAAGACTGGCGCACGGTCGCCCAACGAGATACCACTGAGCGTCTTCGTAGACAACAGGGATTTGGATGAACTGGTGGGTCACGCTGGCTGTGCTATCCTTCCTTCCTTCATTTACTTTGACAGCGGTTTAGCCGTAAGGAAGAATTGTGTGGTAGCTTAAGCCGGACTGTGGGAAATAGGAACCTTATAGATAGAGAAGGAGAAGGTGTTTCGATCACAGGGATCATAATTTTATTCGTCTGAGCTTTCGGGCTCTTACTGGAGTCAGAGATTAAAGCGTCAACGAAAGACAAGCAACAGTCATAGGAGGCAGGGGCCAATCAACCGTTGTAGGAGGGGAGGGAGCGTCCAATCAACCGCCAGTGCCATCAGTCCGGAAATGCCTGCGCAGGGCGATGCATGCTGGCGCCAGATCGATAAATCGATTGACTGAATTCTCATCCGAGGCCCAGGCTTCAATTAGTGCTCGGCCTGTCTTATAGTTGGCGTGGGCGATTATCCTAGCAGCTGCGAAGTTAAACTCATGACCAGTTTCGTAGGTGTGCGATAATGCTTGATCGAAACGCCATCCCCTTCTCTGTCCAAACACATACCTGGGACGCGAACATTTACCTCAATTCGTGAATAGGAACCGCTCAGAATACCTGTGACTTTGTGCCAAATTCTGGGCAATCGGGTTTAGGATTAGGGCGAAGTTTGGGGGTCAGCTTAGTGTCCGGATTGGGGTGTTAGGGGTTATGGTTTGAGTTGGAGGTTAGTTTTAGGTTAGAGTAAATGTACGAAAATATTTAAAATCTCTGAAACTCCTCACAAGTCACCTATGTTAAGTGGACGGGGCAGCCCTTTTCTCGTGTCCCATTTAGGCGGCCATCCAAATCCTCCTTACCAACTTGGCGATTTCCGACTTTGCGTAGTGCGCAAACTTCTATACACTTACTACCGAATTAGCTCATATCTCGCTCATCGGCTGAAGACATTCACCTCAGGGAGGGGGGACCAACGAACGTCATGTCGTTTATAGTGCTTGCACAGGACCTCCATAGGGTGGGTTGAATAGTTGAAAAAGCTTCTCATGAAGCTCCTAACCGCAGGAAAACTGGTCTTCCTAGATTAGCCATCATATGACCTTATGATTCCCTAGTGCTGTGGTGCTAGTACATCAGTTCGTTCCGCCTTTTAGATTGTACAGGCCATAAAGGTCCTCCGGATACACCTGTTGGAATTGCACAAAGTCAATGAGCTTTCAAAGGACTTCTGTTCGCGCTACATCGACAGCCTGAAAACCCGATTCAGGAGTGAACTAATGTTTCAAGGTAAGTCTCACTAAGCATTTGTTTGTTTCTGCTTTTCCCATTTGTTTTTACCTGCTCTTATGCAATCCTTATCTACTAAGCCATCAAACAAGCACACATTTTCGACAAAAGAAAAGCAACACTATATATAACCCATCTGGTAGACCCTAGTAGTGGACCAACTGCGCCGTCTGTAAGTGCGTTTGTTTGTGTTGTCCGACCTTGGCTGATGAAGGCATAAGCCCGAAACAGTTCTGTATCAAGTTACCCCCAAACGCTGTCATCCCCCCCTCTCTGCTATTATGACTTGGCCGGCATCGGCCTGGCAGGCGGCCACCCGTTGGGGACCTCTGACCACTACATGATGTTTGTTTAGTTCGGAAGCTT